AATGGTTGTTACATCCTTAAAATAATAGGTTCATGCATAACTTTCACATATAAACATATAAAACATATATAAAAAAAAAACGCAGGTAATGTCTGCCCAGCGACTCTGTGTCTACGGGGCAACGGTAAGGGGAATGCAGTTGTAAAAAAAATGGCTGATTTCATTCATAAAATACCCAGCTGCGTGCGGAACTTTTTGGAAGTGTTATCGTATTGCAACTCGTACACGAAAATCGACAATGACCAAACCCCCGCCACTGGATATATATCAATATAAATCGATATTCCAAGATGGGAGGATAACATGACGGAAGCCCTGGCCAATAGCGAGACGTAAGGTGACATTAGCTCATTGACAACCGCATGGTTCCCCATGGCAACGGCCATCCTGCCAAAAACTCCACCAATCAGGTTCATCCAGGCCGGATGCTTGCCAAATTGTCAAAAGCTGATGGTATCTTTAGAAAATGTTTATTTTTCACAATGGACAAAATTGAAGAAATCAGTTATTAAGATAAGAATAGATCTAAAAACCACGTTGAAATATTTAGCCTTATATTTGGTATCTATATTTTGTTATTAAAAAATGGATTTTCAAATGAACTATACTTCATGCCTAGTATTTTCGCTTTTTCATAATTAAACGTGGCAACATCCCACATTTACGTCCGAATTCCTTCCGTAGACTCAGAACCGCTGGGCAAACAATACCTAGTTTTCATTCATTTGATCACCACTTATATCAGCCTATCTTTGTCCTACTTGAGCAGTCTTTTAATTTCGGCAGTCCCAACATTCCATATATCTACATTTTCCATATCGCTCAACAAATTATTACACACTCTTAACATTCTATGTACTGGCGACGTGCTATTAGCAGTGCCGGCTTTACCAGATTTACCGCCGGGTGCAATTCAAATCCCACCGCCTCAAGGTTCCTAGTTATTAAAATTAAAAATACATACATGGGTATGGTACACTAATAAATTAACAAAATTAAGCAACAACTATTAATATCACAAATAAACTCAAGAAAAATAAGAACAAAGTAAAAAAGAGTGATACATTAGAGGAGCTTCAAGCTAGAGCGAGAAAAGTTTGGGGGAAACTTATTACGAAAAACTTATTTTCCTAGATTTTGATTTAGGGAAAGAAAAAAAAAATAAAATAAAATTGGGTCGATCGAGGTGTCGATACATACTTTTTTCAAATGTCTATTTTTACACAGTGTAGCAGTACCTATGTGAAATTAGTGCAGAAAAATAATATACATTTTTTTCAAAACAATTAACACCACGCAACCGATATCATGTCCTAAAAAACCAATATTTTTCTCAAATTTTATGCTAAGGCCCGGTTTATTCACCTTCAAATAAACTTGCTGGTAACTATATGCAAGATAAATTTATCGTTCTATAATTCTATTGGTCGGCGGATAATTGGCTGACCAGTGAGATTACAGATTGCGTTTTCATCTGTCAGATCGCATACCTGACAGTTTATCAGAAGGTGAATAAGCCGGCTCTAAAGAGTGTTATTAATTAATCTGATTTGAATTCGCTCTCACTATCTTTAGACGTATATGCCTTTATAAACAGAACATCTAGACGTTGAGTGTTTTCCAAGATTTTATCAAGTTTGTCCCATTTTTTTAAATTTTTGTCATTTCCAAGCACCAACTTTCTATTCCCAGGTATATGGCTAATAATTCCATGGTCTTTTTTTTATGATTTTCAACATTGAAATATTTTAAATTATATATATATATATATATAAAATAATTATTAGAAATTAAAGTTGACCGTAGAAGACTTTTTTATAAAACTTTCACATTAACCATCTTTTCAAGATTCGTGTTTCTATAAATACTTCTTGTGACTTTTCACCAGTCGTTAGAGAGTTTTCGTTGTCTTTTAAAAGCGATTCCGATAGCCGCTATTTGACAACTTTGACATGTGAGCTGTCATTTACCGTTATCGTTACCGATAAGTGTCGGAAGCCTACGGACAAAAGACAAAAGCCATAGCGGAAACGGAACGCATGCGTATTTCCTATTTTTTTGTTGTGGTTTGTTTTTGTTGTTAAATGTTTTTGGTTTTCGAAATGGATTCATCACTAGATTCCTTCAAAAGATCGAGAAATCGTTTCACGGACTAGGACGAAATTATTTTATTAGAAGAAATATTGGCCAATACCTAGGCTTTTGTAGTAAGTAGCCAATTTTGTAAACCCCACAGGGAAAATCAGTGAATTCTGGGCACAAGGAAATTAAAACAAAGTGCAGATAGCACAAAACCATTAACCATTGAATTGAAGGTATGTAGATTATGTTTTTCGAATTCGACTTAACGTTAAGCGAATTAAACGAAAACTATTTTCATGATGTCTCAAATAACGGCTTCGTATTCGTATTCGTTATGGTTAATCGTTCGAATTTGCCAATACAACGAAAACTCTCTATTAATAAAAAAAAAACCGCTTAACGCTGCCATTATATATGCATTACTATTTGATTTGGATCCACTGTCATATTTTCTTTGCCCAATTCTTCAAATATCCTTTTCCGTATCATCGTCTTCGTTTCAATTTTACCTAAAAGAATTTCTTTTGTATTTTTTGAATGCCCTTTTCTATGCCCCAGAAAAAGAAACGTGTTCAACCCGTATAGAAGCAAATACCAAACTCTCCCATAAGGCGAGGCTAGACAGTTATGCATAAGTACATATGTTTTTTTTTTTGGGGCAATCAAGGCAAAAACTAATGCAAGGTTGCTTTGCATAACAAGTTTGTGGTAGCAGGTTGCAAACAGAAGTTCTTCGTGTGTGCATGAATGCGTGTTGATAAAATATGTATTTTCTTTTGGCAATTAGTTTTTGAATAGGTATTTATTTTGTGTGTGTTGATAGTTCATAAATACTAACCATCGGGTTACCAGTAAATTTTGACACTTTTCAGGAAAGGCTAATTTACAAAAATTCAAAAAACCCTAAAATAAAATCAATATGAACTAAATATTAGGAACTCACAGGAACTCGCAGGGATTTGGAAGCAAAAAATAGTCGAATTTTATCAAAAAATGCTCAGAGTATCAATGAAAATCTTTTTTTTTTTTAATGCAATACCTACTATGGTCAGATGTGATCAATTATCACATTTTATACAGTAGGGGTTAATAGACAAAATTGACGCTCATAAGAGAACAAAAGTCATAAAAACAGAAAAATGGTTCCGCTAGTAAAATTTTTAGAATTTGATGTATGGTAGTTTATCGGGCCTGTGTTTTTGACTTGCATGCCAAACATATTTGGAAATCGAAATGTTCCTCATTTGTCTTGTTGTACCTCTCAACCATGCCATCTGATTGTGGATGCAATGCTGTGGTTCTGGTCACACCTTGCACCTTGTCGGCACCATGTTTTGACACAAGATTCTTGACATCCTGGTAATAATTAATAGTCATCCCAGTAGAATCGCTCACGAATCTTGAATAAAGTCTTGTTGACTCCCAAGTGAGCTGTGGACAATATGAAATTCTCCTAAGACTAAAACAACTTTGTTCTTGAGCACGACTAATTCGGTTTTGACTACCTTACCATCTTCACTCTCCCAGGTTTGTTTAAGTAAACCATTTTTGACAAAAAATGAGTCTCGTTGAGCGAACAGCGCCTTGAAAAATAAGCTTCTAGAGAAAATTTCGTTTCGTTTCCAGATTGGTCTGGGTTTGCTGGCTTCCTTTAAGTCCAAAAATGGTTTGGTCTTCTAATTGGTCACTTATTGTAAGCTGTTTGAAACTCCATTCTTGATCCGTTTCAAATCAGAGGCTTCTTACAGGAACTCTTTCACACTTGTGGAGCAGTGCTAGCATCTGCTTTGTTATGCTGTTTACCAGTGTTTTATTTAAAAAAATTCTGACAACTTTCCATGTTGGCTTGCATGATATCTAACCATCGTGTTGTAGTGGTTTTACTCTAATACCGGTTCTAGGTGAAGTTGAGATATTTCCTGCTCTGAAGACACATTTAAACTTTTCAATTTTATTCTGAACATTATCAATTTCTTGGCGATAAGTTTCAACTCTCTGACGCACACTTCCAACTTCTTCCCTTGCATTCTAATTAAGTAGGTATCTTGCCTTTCGAGAGTTTTCTCTAGTATGATTTATTCCTCAGGGATTACGGTTTGAATCCATTCTCATTGAAATTTAAAAAAATCCTAAAGTCGGTATGTTCTTATCTTCGGGCTTCTTACTGCCTTTCTGTCTTCGTTATTTCTCTTCTTGACTCTTGTCTTCGATATTTTTCATGAAGTCCGGCAAAATGTGATTGACTTTTCTCATTGCGGCTGTTAGCTGTCGAGTACTTACCATAGAATACTATGTATATGTCTTGAAACTTGATTTTAAATAATATAAAGTCGGGTGGCGGAGTCACTATTTTACTTCAACATTAGTTGTCCCAATAATTAGCTCAAACTAACCTACTAATTATCTCGCTAATGACCCTCTTACTTAGCTTTAACTTATCCACTAGTTCTCTCGCCAGGCATTTCACTATCCATCTCAAATTAATACACGAATTGCTCGATAATTATCTTCGCGGATCCACTAAAAGTGTCTTCCCTCTTCAGTATTCACTAACAAAAACGACTTCTTTTGAACCAATTGACTGACAGAATTCACTCATGGCTTTTAAACTATACTTACTGGTTAGTCATGCGTTACCCGGACTTCCCAGATGCTATTGGAAACCTAACGTAGCCTTAGCAATATTTTTCTTTAATTTTGTCAATGAACTTTAATGTCAAAATGTCATGTCAAAAATCCTGACCAATAAAGAAACAATAATGCGACTTACGTTTTCGTAATCAAAGCAATCTTTGATACCCGATATAAATAAACATTAGGACTAGACATTTTAGTATACAGTACAGCATTATAGTGATAAGTTTTAGTTAAAAATGTTTTCGCCTAGCTTGTTTAGTTCAATGAAAGGTTTGTTTCAGAGTACCGCCATAATTCCAGAAGACACTGATGCAAATCCCGTTTTTGTTGGACCCAGACAAACCAGTTCGTATGTAAGTACCAAACCAAAAGTTTTATGTAATGTACATCGTTTTCAGCATATAAATGGGAATTAATTTCCAGTTATATCTCACATAGGTCCTTTTATTGCGATTAGGTTGTTATAACACTCTTTATATTACAGGTTCGTACAGATCGAGAGTCGACAGGTCTTTTTTTAAATTTTATAAAAAAAAACACCAAAAGTATTGCAAAAATAAATATACCACTATATATTTCGAATGTGCCGTCGTTATTTAGAGTTATCTTCGAAACGATGGAATACATGGAAAATGGAGCACTTATGGCCGTTTCCACCAACTATTTTAGGAAAGCGTATTCCTTGAAATGACAGTTTTCTATGGAGAAATGTCAGTTTAGGGAATACTTATCGTTAAGGCTTCCCTAAAATAGTTGGTGGAAACGGCCATAAGTTCAAGTATTCTGGTAGCATTTTTAATGTGCGTTCTCGTCAACTAATATGTAGTCATATTATTTGCGAAAAGAGCACATGACAGGTAAATTGAAAGAGGAATACGAAAAATGGGGTTTTGAAGTAAATCTGACGAAACGACCATAGGAGGACAACAACGAACGCTTGAATTGAATAAAAATCACAAAATAAAATGATGCACTGAATACAAATATTTGGAAGGGCACCCTAGCCGGCGCAATTAAAGATACGGATATACAAGGACCAAGGACAGGCGGCAATATGCCTACCCTACTAAATGGAGTACTGTGGGTCAACAAAACAAACAAAATTGAAATACACATCATCGCCAAAAGCATAATCTCATAATATAGTTTAGAGGCCTGGCTACTAAAGGACAGACCCGCAAAAATGCTAGAAGCAACTTTTGGAACAGAGTTGCAGGCAGGTCAACAATGGAAAGGAACACCAACCAGAGAATTAGAGAAATTATGAACGCTAACTAACTAACCCAAACCATTGATTTGGTTCCGAAATGTACAAAGAATGGCAGATACGAGAATACCCAAACAAATCGTTAAATGGTAGCCAGGGGGCAGAAGAAGAGATGACTGACCTAGAAGCTAGACAAGTGAGGTCGACGAGGAAATGACAGACGGAGGCTTGCAGGAGGATATCCGCATAGTAAAAGTTGGTTGAAGATCGGGAATAGGAAGCTGTAGAATGTTTTAAACCGATTTATTATATACAAGAAGTGGTCTCAGTTACCTGCGAACCTGCATACGTCAAATTGGAGAAGAAGTGTGGAAAATTTTGAAAAATATAGCAAGTGATGAATATAAATCATGCGAGCAAAATGACGTCATGTTTGATGGGAAATTGATTAGCACTGGTAGGATATGCGAGTGTTAAAAGAAAGTTTTACCGGCTACTTTATAGAAGCATCACCGATACATAACAAAAAATCACGCAGCAAATTAAACTCCTCGTGATGATGTCCATCTACAAGATTCAGTGAAGGATGATTGGATAGTCGGGGCTGTGTCATCGGATTTCCAAAGAGCTTTTAAAAATTATTGATATATGAAAATGAAAAGTTTAAAAAATCGAGATAATCGGAAAAGCAGCATAACGGATACGCAGCTCACAAGAGAGAAACCAGAAAAGAAGGTACTGAGACAGGGAATCCTCTGCTAGAGAAAATATCCATAACATTCCGCAAGGAACAGTAATGGGACTTTTTTCTACTCAATGGTAAATTTCGAACTCTAGAACCAAAGAGGTTTTATGTATGTGTTTTTCTTTTTAGAGTAATGATGCTTAAGTGTTTGGAGTGGGTTTGGAGTTACCCTAATAGAACTTTGAGGATATATACGCACGTTTTTTGAAGACCTCTTTACACGTGGAATGAAGAACACAGATTTTCACCAATGACTTTGAGGTTGATATCCAATTTTAATATTTCCCTCTTCTACTGGCGAATATTTGGAATCAGCAATATGGGGATGATTTTGTCCGTTTCTACAAGTTTTTCGTTCAATTTTTCGCAAATAATATGACTACATATTAGTTGACAAGAACGCACATTAAAAATGCTACCAGAATACTTGAACTTATGGCCGTTTCCACCAACTATTTTAGGAAAGTCTTAATGATAAGTATTCCTTGAAATGACAGTTTTCTATGGAGAAATGTTAAGGGAATACTTATCGTTAAGGCTTCCCTGAAATAGTTGGTGGAAACGGCCATAAGTTCAAGTATTCTGGTAGCATTTTTAATGTGCGTTCTTGTCAACTAATATGTAATCATATTATTTGCGAAAAATTGAAAGAAAAACGGACAAAACCATTAATATGGGGATGATTCCAAATATTCGCCAGTAGAAGAGGGAAATATTAAAATTGGATATCAACCTCAAAGTCATTGGTGAAAATCTGTGTTATTCCCACGTATCAAGAGGTCTTAAAAACGTGCGTACAAATCCTCAAAGTTCTATTAGGGTAACTCCAAACACTTAAGCATCATTACTCTAAAAAAAAACACAAACATAAAACCTCTTTGGTTCTAGAGTTCGAAATTTACCATTGAGTTTGAAAAAGTCCCATTACTGTTCGTTGCGGAATGTTATAAATATTTTCTCTAGCAGAGGATTCGCTGTCTCAGTACCTTCTTTTCTGGTTTCTCTCTTGTGAGCTGCGTATCCGTTGTGCTGCTTTTCCAATTATCTCGATTTTTTAAACTTTTCATTTTCATATATCAATAAGTTTTAAAAGCTCTTTGGAAATCTGATCTGACACAGCCCCGACTATCCAATCTTCCTTCACTGAATCTTGTAGATGGACATCATCACGAGGAGTTTAATTTGCTGCGTGATTTTTTCTTATGTATCGGTGATGCTTCTATAAAGTAGCTGGTAAAACTTTCTTTTAACACTCGCATATCCTACCGGTGCTAATCAATTTCCCGTCAAACATGACATCATTTTGCTCGCGTGATTTATATTCATCACTTGCTATATTTTTCAAAATTTTCCACACTTCTTCACCAATTTTACGTATGCGGGTTAGCAGGTAACTGAGACCACTTCTTGTATATAATAAATCGGTTTAAAACATTCTACGGCTTCCTATTCCCAATCTTCAACCAACTTTTAGTATGTGGATAGCCTCCTGCAAGCCTCCGTCTGTCATTTCCTCGTCGACTTCACTTGTCTAGCTTCTAGGTCAGTCATCTCTTCTTCTGCCCCCTGGCTACCACTTAACGATTTGCTTGGGTATTCTCATATCTGCCATTCTTTGTACATTTCGGAGCCAAATCAATGGTTTGGGTTAGTTAGTTAGCGTTCATAATTTCTCTAATTCTCTGGTTGGTGTTCCTTTCCATTGTTGACCTGCCTGCTACTCTGCTCCAAAAGTTGCTTCTAGCATTTTTGCGGGTCTGTCCTTTATTAGCCAGACCTCTAAACTATATTATGTGACTATGATTTTGGCGATGATGTGTATTTCAATTTTGTTTGTTTTGTTGGCCCACAGTACTCCATTTAGTAGGGTAGGAATATTGCCGCCTGTCCTTGGTTCTTGTATATCCCTATCTTTAATTGCGCCTACTGTTGATCTTCCCGGTCTATAACCGGCCTGTTTTTCTGTCTCACTATCTTTGTACTCGTTTTCTATTTTGGGTTTCATAGCTTTTGTAAAAGAGAAGGAGTTGGATGCACACTAAAGCGTTGAAAGGAACGTGTGTATAATGGTGTAAAAAAATTTTATTCAAAAAATAATATTGACCAAACACTTTCGGCCTATTCAAGGGCCATCATCAGGGTCGGTCCTACAAATAAGTGGAGCTAGGAGGTGTGTTACAGTGGTAAGCTAACTCACTTGTCAAAAATTTTGTATTGTGACGGTCACGTTTTATGTTAATTTTTCGACTGTTTTTGTATTTTATCACCTGTTTATTTGCGCTCAACTGGTTCTTGAGATTTGAGGCATGTATACTAAAAACATTTTTTTTTTGACGAGTAAGGTAGCTTACCACTGTAACACACGTTCTAACTCCACTTATTTGTAGGATCGACCCTGATGATGGCCGTTAAATAGGCCGAAAGCGCTTGGTCAATATTATTATTTCAATAAAAAAAAATTATAGCATTACACACACTGTCCTTTGAACGTATGTGTGACTGCATTGCCTCGATGGTTTCCTCATTTGTTTCTGTCTGCTATCTTATAACATCGTTGTTGAGTAGCTTATTTTCCACTTTTTCTGTACTTCATGTCTATTAGAAACACTAAAATGTCCTACGACAAAAAATTCACTCCTGTGCAATCGAAAGTTTTTGGACGATCTACTTTTCAGGTTATGTTACCGCAATAATTTTAATGGTAGCCCAAACTAGGAAACATCAGGAAGACAATAAGACACTGAAGATTTGGCGATGGTTGTGAATCAATCCAATGATGCAATAATCTAAGCCCTCGTCTCAGCCTTTAATGAGAACTGCCCACTTATAACAAGAAAATCCACTAGGAACGTGCCATGGTGGAACAAGAACCTTGCACATTTAAGGAGAACAAAGCCAGAAGAACCGGCCAGTGGGATACCTACGTATAGAACCACGTTGAACAAATTCAAGGAAGAGCTGAGACTCCTGAGAGGATCTAAGAAGAGGTCTTGGAGGAAGTACGGTGGGGATATAGAAAGTACTCAAGATTTTACTAGACTACAAAGAACTCTGTCAAAGGGCGCGAAGACAACAATCAGTTTACTCAAGAACGGCCTTGGTGAATATACCAGTACCGGGGAAGAGACGGCTAGGGAACTCCCAAGAACTAACTTTCCCGGCTCAAAGATAGTTGATCAGACTCATTGGACATGGAATGAGCCTAGGCGTCGAAGAGCGTCTAGAAAAGACTGGTTGACCTCGAGAAAGTAGTCATTAGAGACGGTGTGTTGACAAGCCGACCACTACACCTAGACCAGTATGCATATCGGACAGGGATGTCAACAGAAACAGCGCTTCACCAGGATAGTGGAGACCACATTGGAAAACAGGGAGGTGATGCTGGGCTCTTTTTTGGCCAT